TAATATTCAGAGACCATGGTAGTCTTCCAGTTAATGCTGGAATAAGTAATAAGTATTTTGCATTTACTAATTCACTGTTTTGCAGGTATTATACCATAATTGTGATAGCATAGCTTTGAGAGTAAGATAATTTTACTAAGAAATTAAAGTACATGATATGCTGGGTTTTGGCAATCCTGTTTGCCAATTTTGACAGAATACATTGGTGCAGTAATGTACCGCACTATACACTATTAGGACAAGGATTGTTTATGTTTCTCCTGATTCGAGAGCTCAGTGGGTTCACTTGTAGTGATATTAAAATGTAGTAGCATTTCTAGAAAAGGAAAAGTTTGGGGGAGAAGTGCCAAAGTGGTAAGGATGTGGAAGTTAATGATTAGATGTGTGTCCATGCATTTAATTGGCAATATAGCAATGTGGCAAATCAGAGTGTAAAAATATCTGTGAATGCTTTAATGTTTACTCACATGAACATAAATGTTGTTTCATGTTTTGGATATCAAGAAAATCTTTAAGGTTTTACTTTCAGAAATTTAAGGAAAATTCCTCATAGTTTTCACTGTCTTTATTGACTGCAATTAAACAATTCTATCTATGGGTGGAATTTCTGCTTTACTTTGGTCATTGATTTGGGTGCAGATTATGTCCAAAAGCATGTTACTTTTGAGAAATTATTTTTGCAGTTTTTAACTGAAACTTATTTGCATATCACCAAATGTAAAATTTACCATGAACCAGCACAATCAGGAAATATTTGGTTTTAGTTTTAAAATGTTGTTTTAAACATTAGCTAGACTATTTGGGTGATAATTTGGTTTAAGTGGATTTAATGTAGATGGATATGTGCTAATCACAAATAATCATAATTCTTAATCAATATTTAGTCATAACTTACAAATAATTAAATTTTAAACACCTGACAATGGTTTAAAATATACGAAATAATTTGCTAGCAGTAATGTCTACAATAGCCAGTTCCTAGTCAATTTAAAAAAGGCGGATTTCAATTCAAAATCTTAAAAGCTTAATTTTAAGAACCTCCTTGAAGGTTTGCAAGCTAATGTATCTAGCAGAAATTAGCAATTGTGATGAATTCAGTTTGAAAGCATGGCCAGTTTTGAGGACAAGGTTGGCGTCTGGTGCAATGATTTTTAAACCATTGAAAAATATTGCAGAAGCTATTTACACGAAAACAATTTGTGCTTGATCTTCTGCAATCTTTTGCACTGTTTTGATTAGCTTAGGGTAAAATACACTGACAAAACACTCCAAACTATGAAATGACCAGGTCCTTATCACTGTTGGTAGGAATTTACTGGGAGTTGTAGAATCACATAAATTATGCCACGCTCAATCAGATTTTTAAAACAAAAAGAAATACTCTTTAAGTGTAATTTTGACATTGGACTAATAGTAAACGTAAATATAGACTGAAAAATTCTTCTGACCAATATGTATAGATTATATCAATGGGAAATCCTATAATATTTACTTAGTGCTGTGCATTCAGAAATTACTGTATTTTATAATTGAGCACTTGCTTGTTTCAAACTCAAATATTGTAGTGTTTCTAATATGGCAGTGAAAAAAAAGGCTAATAATTATATCCAAAATTTGTACTGTTGAACCCAACTGTAGATATGTTAAAGAAGGATGAAACTCAGTTAAAGGCAAAAAAAAATCGATGCTGGAGATTTGAAATAAACAGCAAGGGCTGAAAAAATTCAGCTAGTTTGACAGTATTTGTGGCGACAGAATCAGAGTTAATGTTTTGAGTCTGATATGACTTCTTCAAAAATAAACCATCAGTTGTTGTGAAATACGTCATTGAAAATAAAACAATTGTCATGAGAAGCAACTGAATTTTATTGATAACTGAGTTTAAAGCCTTTCTGAGCACTACCATGTACTATTGTAAGGATACAAATTTTCATATATAACTGTCTAAAATGTAAATTGCATTATGCATTCTTAGAAAGTTATTCATTTTCACAAAGCATACCTTCAATCTCTAGTTTTCCCTCCAGAATCAGATTCTATTTACAGTTTGTTGGTCTCTAAGTTTATTTCTAATTGTTTTCATAGTAGTAGTTTTGTTTGAACATTTTCTTCGCCCCCTATACCTCATGTTAAAAACATCATTGTTAGGCTCTGCCAGTAACACATTGAGTACCTGAGGCAAGGAAACTGAAAACAATTCCTGATCTGTGCAGAATTGACTGATGAGTGTGCTGCTGGTAACTACAACAGCCTTGTTTAAATGCAGGAACTCAAACCTCTGATGGGATTGCATGTGGGTAGATTTTAAGTAAGATTAAGATCTGCTTTGGTACATCTCATGATTGAATAATCGATAAGCATTCACTATTAAAATACATGCAGAAATAATGGTCACTTGGACAAGTTGCTAAGGACAAAGAGACGTCTGCCCTTGTAGAACCCTTGGGACTCATCTATTTCAAGATGGGGAGGGCAAAATTGGGAAGAAAACATTTTTAATGAGCATTGCTTGCCAGCTGATATCTTTAGCATCCTGAAATTTATGTTATGTGAAATTTATTCAGATCAGGCTTAAATTAAATTATATTTTGTTTCATTATATTGGAGAAGTAATGTTGTTCACAGTGTTGCACAACCATGCCCCAAGAGTGTTATTGCATTGCTAACTGTATCTTTAATATCTTTTATACTGCAATTAGAAGGGAAAATATAAAAGTTCATGCAGCAATACATAAGCATCAGATACTTTTAAGAACTTTCCTTTTGTGGGCAACTTTTCTGAGTTTGAATAGTATTTTCATAATAGGCCTTTCCAGAAATTAGTGGTAAAAATGGTGATGAAGGCTCTTAATAACAGTGAGTGGTTTTCATGCAGTTTCCAATTGGATAAACTGTTATATTTATGGTGAGAATGGTGCGGCATGAATAAATTCGTAATAGAATGTTTTTAATGATACATTGGATATATTTGACTAAATGTTTGACTTTTAAATGTGCGTTTAGTAGATTCAGAAGGCAGCATTTCAGAAAATGAGTATAATGTTACAGCTAAGGCTCAAGTACTGTCTGATAGTAAAATCTGTTATTGATAATCTGGATTCAGCCTCAATGTATCAATTCATTATTCAGCAGAGCGGAAGAAATAGACCAATCTATTTCAACACACAGTTTACAGGTAACAGAAAATGTGGAGCTGGAAAAGTGCAGCAGGTCAGTCAGCATCCGAGGAGCAGGGCTTCGGCCCGAAACGCTGACTTCCCTGCTCCTGGGATGCCGTCTGAACGGCTATGCTTTTCCAGCTCCACATTTATTGACTCTAGCTTCCAGCATCTGCAGCCCCTACTGTCTTCCAGTTTACAGATAACAATTGATAACCTTACTGTGCTGTTGAGCAGACTTCCTATTAAAGCAATTGAAGGCGAGACTGCCAAGGTTCTGGCTTTACCCTTGACCAAAGCGATACCAGTATCACACAGTGACCTCCAGCACAGTGTTTTAATGCACTTTAAATGGTATATTTAGATAAACATTACTGATTTCGAACAATTTAGCCCTAGAATTTAGTGTCCATCACAGAATATAAATGTCTTCACCAGTGTAGTTTCGTCCCCTCTCAAGGGATCACCTTGACAGATTATTACTTGGGTGAGTACAACGTTGTTGTTGCATAACTACCATTAAAATGTGAAGAACACCTCATTAGAAGAAACGAAGTTGATTACTCATTGCTGTTCTTGCTTTTATAATTCATTTTAATTTGCTGCGTGAATTTATCATTTTACAACATCACTGTGGATTGCGAGTGTGTTTGATAGTTGAATAATTTATTTCAAATTTTTGGGTCCCCTATTAGAATATATCTTATTACATATGCATAGATGACAACTAACGAGGATTATTATGCCCAAATGATTTTAAAAATAAGTTACAGCTGCTTTTTCTCGTACTGTGATGAGTTAGCTGTTCTACTGTGGTTAGGTGGCCTTCCTCGGATGAAGAAGGGAAAATTAGCCTGGATTCTTACTCGTGACTTCAGATTCAAGTGTGCATGTATAATTATTAGCTTTGGAGAGGGTTGGTAAGCTCAACTGTGATTTCTTCCTCAACTGCAGACACCCACTGACTAAGCTCTTAAAGGAAAAATTACTATATTAAGACAGGGTGCAGGGCTCCTATCTTCAATCTTCATGTTTCTCCCTGATATAAAGACACAGCTTTCTGAGAGAAAGAAAACAGGGAACAAGACTGGGAGACACAAAATAGAAAAGATTATTGCAGGGTATTTTCATTGGTGGTTGCAAAATTCCATTTTTTAGCTAACAATCATCGATTTTTTTTTTTCCATTTTAATGGCTGGTTTTCAGAAAGAAGGAATGCAAGTTGAATGAAGGACTGATCCACTGTCTGATTTCATACTCTGGGACATTAGCAACAAGCAAATCAATGCAGATCTTCACAGTGCAACTGATGAACAACTAGGGACAAGTAGAATCATTGTGGCTTTAATTGGATAGAAGGCCCACTGTGCACTGTATAGCCTTATGACTAGACATATACATTTTAATACAGATTTTTTTTAAAAAAAATCACAACCCTAAACAAAATATGCTGCACCAAATGTGTAGAAACAGCATTTTTTTTCTCTGGTGCATGTGAAAGAAAGTGATTTGTGCAGTCTTTTTTTTAGAATATAGGTGGAAAATGTGATGCTGAGGAGAAATCTATTTGACAGTAGCAAATATGACACTGGAAAAGTGAGTGATTTTTCTTTGCTGCCCATTCTGGGCTAAGGTTTCCTATGTACCTCTTTTATAATCTGGGTGGTTATTCGAAATAGTGTAGTCAAGTCTAATTTTGTTAAGAAAAACACTTGTTCTTAAGGTATTGAGCATAACTGAATCCTACTTTACCATGCTAGGGATATTCCATATAGACTATTAACAGTTACTACTGATTACTTGTTATATTAAGTAATGATTTCCATTTCCTTCTGTTTTCAGAAAGTGATTCTTCCTTCAGGAGCAGCATTTCGGTGGTTCCAGTAGATGTGAGCACGCAATTCCCAGAGTTGTGTCATTAAGTGCAATGTGTCTGCTTGCTTGTATTGTCTCAGGCAAACATTGTTGGCTGAAGTAAATGGACGCACCCTGTGTTTTCTTAGAACCAAAACTCTTTCTGCAACTTTCATTCCAATTTTTATGGAGGTGAATTTTATGTTGTAAGAATGAATATCTTTAGTCATTGTACAATGTGTCAGTGCTATTACAATAAATCTGTAAAATGCAGTACCAAGTCAAAATGGGCACAGTATGGACAATCAGATTTTATTTGTTTGATGTTGATGTCTGTTGCGTAAATTGGAAAGTGCTAGGAGTGTTTAGAAAGTTAATTTTACAGATATCTTTTAAGACTAGTTGACTGAACACACTGTTCTAGACATAGCACAATGGTTAAATTACATGCCTTTTCCAGTCTACCTTTATTCTATATTTTAATGCATATTTCCCCAGCTGTCATTGAGTTGATCGTTGTATCATGGCACTCTTGACATTGTAGTCTTGGACACTTAAGTAGACATTAGAATATAATTTTCATAATTTTGTTTATAGACATTTTTGTAAATTGCTGAAATAATATCACTTCCGTGGTGGTCATTAAGCCACTGGTTTTCATGTAAAATCACCAGCTTCACACCTATTGCATGGTGCATTTTGTAATGATTTGGCTGTTTTTGGCTGTTTTGTGTAGAATATTAGTGTTTCTTTTGTGTGTGTCAGATTTCAATTTGCAGCTCATAATCTTGCATGTGGCACTTGGCATCCCTTATGATGAGCAGACTGATTTCTGGAAATGCTCTTTAGGGAGGTTAGCTTTTCATAAGCTAGCAAATTTTTATGTTGCTTCTGGTACAATGATACACTTAAGACCCTTATTTTAATTGCCTGCCAAAGAAAATCAGTGCCCCAGTGATATCTAGGCATGGTGAATCATTGGAATCCCTTGTTTGTGAAATCTTTCAAACATAACGGCTGTTGAATCACAAAAGCATGTCATTTTAGTGACACAGCATATTACAGAAACCTTTTAAAGATGACTAAAGGAATCAAGGCACTACACTTGAGAGGAGGGGCAAAAGCATTTGTCAGCAAGTAAATACCTTTCCTCTCAGATAAATTGCATTTTGTTGAATGATTAACAGAGAGAATGGTATTTATATGTATACAACTTATGTTGAAAGGGGAAAGAACTACAGTACTTTGAAACAAATGGTGCCCACCTTGGCTATAAGAATACTCACAACTTAAACTCACAACCCCATCAAATTGAGCACTGACCCTCTACTGTATTGCCAGTCCTCTCCACATAAAAAAGTATGTGACAAAACACAGACTCAAAACATAATTTTAAATAAAATTATTTAATTTTATTTAATCTGTGTTCACACACCAAATGTAGGATCTATGTGACCTGTTTTAAGCTTCAAGGAGCTTCCAGTTTGTGTTTAAGTCCAGAGTCAGGGTCCAATCTGACTCTTCAACCAAGTGGATTTAACAAGTAGTCTCACACTTGCTGCCTGTGGAGTGTAAATTCAGTGCAGGGAATCCCCTGGGGGCATTGTAAACCAATTTACCTCAGTTGCAAAGTTTAGAGAGAGTTTCCCCTCCTTACTTTCTTGACAGTCAAATTACTAATTCTTATGGGAGAACTGTGGACTTTTGTCTATTCAGACATGCACAGTTCTCTCTCTCATACAGGACAGCTGAAATTTCAGCCTGGTGGAAGCCAAGCAATGTAAACAGGAAGTGTGAACAAGTGTGCATGCTGTAAACACACCCATTAATGCATGCACTAATGCTTTTTAAGAACTAGAGTCAAAAATTTCTTTATGAAAAAGCACTGATATCAGTAAACATCATCTTTTTGAAACACTGGTGGGGTTGGATTAAGAGAATCCTTTTTGGAAGGTAGCACAAAATAACCAATAGCAAATGGATTAGAATACTGGGCAGAGTGGAAAGTTGCCTGTTTTGATCCACCTCCCAAGAAAAGTTGTACCCGCAAGGAGTCTCAATGGGTGACATCAATCATCTTTGTTTGGTATGTTTAAAATAAAAACAGATCTCTTTCTGGCAGCCGTTGCAAATGATTGCTAAGCTGAACTGGTAAAAATTAGTACTGACAAGAGCCAGGGTCCAGAAACAATTAACCTGTGATGAGCCCAATACTATTGCTGTGCCATGTCTAAAATGTATACTTCTTTTGTTATGCTTATTGAATAATGTATTGGATACCAAAATATAGTGAAATCTGTTTGTTTCCCAGGAATCACAATAAAGTTTTTAAAGTCCTCATAAGACAAAGAAGAGAGAAATAAAATGATTGTTGTAAAGCCACAATTCTAAGTATGTACATTTTTCAATGAGTCAGTATTGTTTCAGGGTGAATCATGATAATGTGCAAGAACATTTAGCTTTATGGAAAGGATTCAAACTACTTCAAAATAATCACTGTTTAAGGGCCCTTGGCTGTTTTGTGTCAGCTTGAGCACTGATTTTTTTTAATATATGTTAATTCAGAAAATGCCTTCCAGATATTGTGAGAGGTAGCAAAGCAAATGATTTGCAAAGAAACACACAAAATATATGGATATAGTTTTTTTTTCTAGTTATGTAATTAATTTCAGTGTTGTAAACTGGTCTTAAGATTCGTTTGGTATGTTTAAAGCAAAAACAGCAAAAGAAAATGGAACAAATTATATGCATCAGCAATATGGTGTCTCGTCTGTAGCAATTCTGTATACAAATAAAATAAGTACTGTAAAATTTAGGTTTCTCATTTTTGCTTTCATATTGTTTTTAATTCAATGCTAATTAGTGAATGCAATATTACGAGTGGTAATCAGTCAGAAGCCAGCAATAAAATAGCCCTTGAGCTCAGGATGAATGCTGTGTCCATAAAAATGGCTACTACTTTTTGATAGGGTTGCTACAGCTCTAGCGAACAACATTTCCAGGGTGTTAGGATCTGACATGTTTTTTCCCATGGTTATGCTCTCCTGAAACATTAAATATTGTTTGCAGTTCTGTAAATATCTTGTATCATGCTGGTTTGCAATTAAATGCCTATTTTCAAATTTGTAATAAGGGCTTCTAATACAGAAAGGTCAAGTCAATATGCAGTGCCATTACTTTTTGTCATTTCCTTATTCAACAAAAATAACTTTAATTTTGGTGGTGGTGGAAGATGAATAGCAACGAAATTACTACATTCCGAAACAAAAGTTGGGAATTGATCTTGAAGTAACTGATCCAATATACACAATACTCTTCTGGTTTCTCTCAAATTGAATTTTGTTGGGCTTTGTTCTAACTGAACATTCCCACCTATCATCTCTGTGCTCACTGACTTACTTTGGTTTGTGGTCTGGCCACACTTGGACTTTAACATTTTAATCCTTGTTTTCCAATGGTTTCACTTCCTTATCCCTTTATATCTCTGTAATGCCTACATCCTGCTGAAATCTCTGTACTCCACTAATTTTGGCCTCTTTTGTGTTTCTGATTTTGATTACAATTGGCAAGTGTGCCTTCAATTACATGAGCTCCTCCCTAAACTTATGTGCCTCTCTAATTCCCCATATAAGATGTTCTTTACTGTGTTAAATGTATGTTACTTCAGGCAACATTACTTCAAGTATTTCAAAAGCACTTAATTATCTAAAATGTTTTGGGATGTCCTGAAGTTACAATAGGTGCTATATAAATGAACGTTAATTCTTTTGCATGCTATCTGCCTTTCATTTAATTTCAATGTGTTTTGTATTTGTTAATCAATTGGATCGAATTTAATGCAGCTAGTCAACCAAGCTAATGTCTGAAGGTAACTTAATTTTCAATTTACCCACAATCATTAGTGTCAGTGTGATCT